ATGATACCAACATTTGGGGCGAGGTGAGCACGCTAGTAGGGAGGGAAAGACTACAGCAAGACTTGGATAGGTTACAGGGGTAGGTTAGCAAAAACAGGATGCACTTGGGTAGTAGTAACTAGCAGCACACTTATAAGATGGGAAACGCCTTTCTCAAGAGCATGGTGGCAGAAAGGGATCTTGGAGTCATTATCGACTCCAAGATGAACATGGGCCGACAACCTTAGCATCTATGAATGAACCTATGAATGCTGAAAGCCATGTAGTACTTGGGTTGCTACCACTTCTACAACAGATTGTGGTATCATGAAGTCCAGCCTCTTACTTCTCATAATGTAAGTCAAGGCCTGCTACATGTATTCATTTAACACCTCTGAGAGGTTCATCTGTCCTAAGGAACATCAGGGATGATAGCGTAGCAGTCAAATTTCCCCTCAGAGTAAAGAACAGCAATGGCTGTAAAGGAGTACTTACCTTAATTGGGATGCATCTGCATGGGGGGGCTCACCGCAATCTCCACATAAAGGATCAGGCTAGGGTAGTGCCAGCAAGGTAGCTGTACATCTTGAATGCAATGCTCCATTAGAATATGCAAGGCAATTCTCAGTCTTACTTTTTCAGGTTTTTTTGTACACAGGCAGATGTTCCCATGTCTATGCTTAGTCCACATTTTTGAGCCCTAAGAGTGAACCTCAGTGGAAATGTCTACACATGCACTTTAATGCAGAGTAGCCTATTCTACTGTGCATTAAAAAAGTGGCACAAAAACATGACCAGTAAAAGCCAGATTCTGGTCTCATCACTGAGACCAGGAACTGGGGCTCTGGCCTGGCTGTACATTGCATGTTACTTAATAAACCAGAGGCAATGGCAGCCAAATCAAAGCAAATGGTAGATTAGGTTGGTAGGTGCTATTCCAATCAGATTCAAAAGGTACATCAACCTTCAGGATAGACTGATAGGAAGCCAGTTTCTCTTTTGCCTGTACCACTGCTGCTGCCTCTTTGTAACACCCTCTGTTCTTTCATACCTGGCTCAATTCCCTTCTGTTTTAGTAACAAATTATCCATTCAGTTTTTGTGGCTAAAAGACTTTGGTTACTTTCAAAAGTAAAGCTATGTTCTGACATGTAGTAAAGGACAAAGGAATTCAGCCATCTAAACAGAAGTTGAGAGAAACAACCCTTAAACTCAGAGTGAATTGAAAACAGGGTAGGGTGACTGAATAGCAAGTGGAAAGATCAACTGTATTGCATAATAGCACTGGCTGCTTGGATAGACATGGAAACAGACTCAGTATTCAGTCTGAGAGATTAATGAGTAATTTGGTTGTAAATACAATATTACTGCAAGTTGTGTTCATGGTTTTCAAATACTTGGGAAATATGCTACAATGCACATGGACAAAAATGTAGGAAGACACCACACTGCAGTACTTTGAGAACACAGCTCAAACTTAAGGTTCAGTATAACTAATGGCATCCATTTAGTATACAAGGTCACTAGGTTATGTGTATATAAGCATTAAAATATTAGCACCAGAAAATTCCTGGCTTAAAAAGCCAGTATTCTAGGCATACAAAAATCAAGAGGGGCATCCCAATCCACTGAGCAAATAGCTGTAAGTGTATTCAGCATGACAAAGCTACATTACAGCTTGAGTTACTATATAGAAATCAGTCAGGTCTTTATATTTTCAGTTCTGAATTAGAGTACAGTATTTTAAAACAGAAAGGAGAGTAACAATTTTTAGCATATCAAATTGTAATACATACGGTGTTCAAACTTGTTTTTATGGCAAACCGTCTTCAAATACAATAGACATTTCTAAAATGACTACCATATCATTTACAAAGGAATTATTTGCAACTGAATTGCAAGTTTAACATAAAACAATTCTCCTTAAGACGCCACAGCAAAATCCTGTAATATTGTCTTAGACAACCTCACATTGTATTTGAAGGCTGTGCAGTCTTATTTGTGGGAGTTCTGGGACTCTACCTAAGCCTGCCACTGAAGGACTGTCTGATGGCTAGGTTTTCTAGAAAACACTATTCCTAATGCCACAACCCCCTATGCCATTATGACAGGCCCATCTTGGGTCTATCTTTTCAAAACACAAAAAAAAATCCTTAAACCAAGGTGTACATGACAGTGCTTTTCTTAGGGCTGATTTTTTTTGTTTAGTATTGTTGTGATTATCAACTTATGAACAGGAAGCAGTACAGTCTCCTAGTGTGAACACAGTTATAAGATTATGCTTAGAAAAGCCCTTCATGGTAAAAACCCAAATTGGAAAGAAATTTCATAACTCATTTTTTCCACCTTGGAGTAAAAGCATCAAGTCTGATGTATTCATAGCCTCATTCTACAGCAAGTTAATTTCCTGCCAATTGTCACTCATGTAAAATAGATTTGCATGTGAGAGGCAACTAAAGAAAATAGGAATTATTCCAACTAGGAATAAATCCTATTGTCAAATTCATTAGCCTTCTGATGAATTCATTAAATTCCGATCCAGAAGTTAAATAGTCACCATGAATAGTTCAAATCCTGATTTCTAAAAATTTCAGATTAGTAAAAAAAGGAATAAGTTAAAATGGGAAAGCAAAAAGAACCAGGGGGTGGGATGGGAGAGAGAATCAAGAGGCTCTAAACAGAACAGGTAAATCCACTGAACAATTTCAATAATTAAGATTAGTTGGTGAAGTTTGAGTATATTTGTAGAAATGTGCTTTACTATTATTTGTGTATATTTAAATAGAGTGCAAAAGAGCATCGAGGTTTCTGAAGATTAAATGTAGCCCTTCTGGTAAGATGTAGTGCTGTACAGACCTAGATGAACTTAAAACTACTATAAAAGCCTGTTCAAAAATTGAAGGTTTTAACTAGCCAATAAAGCTGTATTTCAGAATTCTACTTGGGTACTACATGCATTTTTGCTAAAAATACTTCTATCTACTACTATTTGCTACCACTGTTGCCTTGCAGCTTTGATATTTTTGGTGTTAGAACAGTTAAATTAAAAGTCATACTCTGTTTAATCAACACCACAAACTACATTTCAACTTTCCAGTAATTTACTGGACTTCTTCACACGTGCAAATTTAAATTTACCAAAATTATTCATGATTTAATGCTCTGCCAACCTAAACTTGATAATGGGCTAGAAAAAAAGATGACTTGCCCAAACAATCATGTACACATCTATTTCATAGCTATCTTTCCTATCTAGCCCCTCTCCCAAAGTTCACCTGAAAAAACAGTAAAATCTACACAAAGTTTTATTGCAATCATACAAGGGATACGTCAGGGTCAAATACAACAAATACTATGATGCAATTTTACATTTATTAAACTACAGTTCAAAGCACAAATTTACACATTCTAAATATACTAAACATCTAAATGAAGTCACACTAGTCTCCCACTGACATTTGATGTATCTGGGCGAAAGACAATAACTTTACAAGACTTTCTAACAGGAATCCTTAGTATAAAAACTGTGTACTTGTATGTAAACTGTTTAACAGGGAACCCAAGTGGTGGGTTTCCATCTCCACTAAGTCATCCATTTTGTTGCATATTTAATTTAAAACGCTCAGGGGTTAAACAAACTGGCAAGTTTAAATCTTGACACCTTTTCCTATCCCTCCCACCCCCAATGAATTGTAGTTGTAGCTGGTTTTGCCTGGTCCCAATTATCCTTACTAATTTTTCAAGTTTTGAAGACGATATGAATTCAGGATTGTTCCATTTTCTTCCATACTGGAATGTTGACCAGACAAACTACAGACTTGCAACTGCAGGTCTAAATGAAGCGTTAATGCCTGTTTAAGCTGCAGTGGAAAAGCGGTCTTCTGGGCTCAGCTGAATGCATGAAGGCACAAAGAAGAAGTTCTTCATCAATGTGTCTGAAGGAATTCCAGCATCTTGCATCTCATACCTGCAGCAGAAAAGTATGGGGCATGTTCAAGAAAAGCCATACCCAAGATTTTTTTTTTTTTTGAAATTCCTCATGTCAACCTAATATTGGAAACCAACGTTAAATCTAGGAGTTCAAAGTTAGTATTGCTTGACAGCTTTGCAGAACAAGACTAAGGGTTAAAAAAAAAAAAAAAAACGGACATTGACAAGTGTCCCACTGCAGCAGATCTGCTTTACTGGATGAAACACCGCCAATGCGGGACAACAAGTGATGTGATCACCCAGCGATTTCCCACATCCTTTGTTGCCTCCTGCTTCTTTGCTGGGATCCATTCTGGTTCTCTCAAACACAGGCCTCGTGGCAAGGAGTAGAGGACCTAGGGAATCCACAGAATCCCATAACTCCATACTGGGACTCACTGCCCTATTCTTCCACATGAAGCATGGGTCCCAGGCAAGCAGGTGTGGGACCCGGGGAATCCCGAGTGGCCTGTGCCTGCACTGACCCCTGCTTCACACTGGGAATTCTAGGCCAGGACATGCCTGGGCTTTCACCCATGGAGACCCATTCCAGGATCTCCATAAGCAAGGGACCCTGACTTCCTATGCTCAGAGGTGCCCAGTTCTCCCAGGTGTTTCACATCAGAAGTCTTGACAAAATGTGGGCACATTTATTTTCTTCCTGCTTGTACTGCCATCAATTTTTATGGCAGCACAAGTGTGACATGAGACGTGTTCTTTCTACCCAAAGTTAGTCTTCACACATCAGTGCCTGAATTCATAATTCTGGCAAACCTATGGTATATAGGTTATGCTTATTATAGAAGTTCCCTTGGAGACTCCTAGCTTCATTTAACTATGCTTGATTATTAGTTTCTATATATATATATATATATATA